TATTATCCTTCTCAACCTCCATTGTCAACTTAACTGTACACTCGATTTGGTTAATTGAGAACACGAAGTTAACTCAATTGACTGGATAAATATTCCCAAAAAATAGGAAATTTGAGAATAAAATTAGGCTAGACTCTTGGAGATGCGGCACTAAAATTAGCCATGTATTTTCTTAAAAAATGAATTTAGAAATCAAATTTTGATGCGATTTAGTACAATATATATATATATATATACCTTTTTTATATTTTGAAATAAGGTATAAACTATTTATCTATAAGGAATATTGCCATATATAACCCACATAATTATATAAGTAAATTATATTTACTATGCGCTAGCTTCAACATAATTTTATTTATATTAATAAATTCTACCCTTGCGCAGTTCTTTTTTGATGTAATCAATAATTACTTTCAATCGTTTTAAATGGCCGGAACTTTGGGGCGATCTCGGTGAAATAGCGCTTGCTTGGTCTGTTTAGTTGCTATGATCCGATTCTAATTGTTTCCTCATACAATTTTTCTTTAAATACACGTATAACTCCTTTTAAACTTTGTTTAAGGTTCCTTGGTTTGTTTTTAATAGTACAATAACGGCGAATGTCCGGACTTTACTAATTGCAAAACTACGTTATTTTATATTCAGAAAAGCTATGCTTGCTGGGTAAACTTCTCAACGAAATAATTTGCAATGGATTTACTTGCTGAGGAGGATGAGTCACTGGACTATGTAGGACTATTTTATTTGCTAATAAATTTGTCAGGGCGATTTGGATGACGAATCTCAGCACCATTCCCGTGAAGAGCCTGATGATCAGACACATACAGATAGTATGGATCGCAACCCCCAAAAGCACTTCGGACGATTTGTCTCTATCTCTAAATCTTCAAAGTCTATTTCTCTGTCCAATAGATCATTGCGGCTTTATGATGATATTGATGAGGATTCGGACATTGATGACGTAGATGGCTTGAGCCAGGAGGACGAAGGAAGAGAAGAGGGAGAAGCCTCAAGTGATGAAGAGGAATTGCTCAGTCATTCAACTATTTCCAGAAGAGAAAAAATCTCTAATCAGTCAAAGAATCTGGATGATAGTGACCACTTTCGTCGTGTTCTTCTAGAGCAAGTTGAGGCTCGGTACCGCAAGAGGCTTACGGAGAAACAAGTCAAACGGCAACAGCACTCTAGAAAAGTTGATACATCCTTGTTTGCATTGCCTCCTCCCAGGTCAAAATTTGATTCAAGCCCAGAAAATACCTCAAACTCACGCCGAGATCATTCGCAGCCCTTAAATGATCCAGGCGATAATAAAGGTATATCGTGTTATTAAGGCTTCAGGTTATATTTTTTAATATTTATGGTTATACGCCGTCATAACTTGGGAGGCTGTCATTCTTATCACTTTTAAAATATATTGTTGGGGACTCCAAAAGACGACCACTCTTTTAGTTGTACTACATGAGACATCCTTTGTGGTTTTGTGTG